ACCTGGACCCCAAATAACCTACCCTTTTTGGGGTTCCCTCATTACGTTGTTATATGTAAGTCCTTGAAAAGGTAGGTTGTTTGGGGTCCAGGTGGGGTTTATGAATGTTCAGGATGTACTTAAAGGATCATGGGACTTAGTAACTAAATACGTATAACTACTTATAACCCCAATTAAGGTACTTATAACCATACTTACTAATACTTACTAAGTCCCATGATCCTCCAAATAGGGTTTAGTGGATGAGGCTGTTGGGCTTCAGGATTCTGGGAATTGAAGGCACCGGGTTCAGGGATTCGAGTTTTACGGCTTGAGGGTGAAAGGTTTTGGGGTTTAGGTTCGGCCTTTCTATTCTTGCTGACTCGTGTTATGTCTCGCGTGTGTGTGTGTGTGTGTGTTTGTTTGTGTTTGTTTGGCCATGGCATTAGCTTCTCGTGGCCAAATGCGTGGGGTTTGTACGGCACAATCAGGGTTTAGGGTTTAGGGGTTAGGACGGCCGCGATCGTTGTCCTTTTCAGAACGAAAATCGCAAGCGTTGCAGTACAATACATCTTGGTGTTGGTGGATACTGCAGCTCTTGCCGGCAACGTGTTTCTTCTTGACCGCTAGTAATCTCATAAGCATGAGCCCGGCTGCTGCTACTATCTAGTACTAGACGATCACTGCTCACCACCACCAAGAAGCGGAAGAAGGACTGCCGGTTTCTGCGGCCCAATACCCACCCCCTCATCCCCCTCGACCCTAAACCCTGACCTTATCCTGACGGTCTTTAATCCTAAACCCTCAAGCCTACACCCTAAACGCTCATTAGAAAAAAAAGTCCCAAACCTAGCCCTCAGGGTCCAGAACTTTGGGGCCTTTTTGGGTACCTAAAACCAAAAATAAGGACTACTTGGACCCTTAGGGTTTAGGGTTCAGGGACCATAAATTAGGGCTGGGTAGAGGGTAATGAGTTCCAGACACGCTCATCATCGCGACAAGGTCGCCATCTGACAGCCCCGTGCCTCTTACGGGGCCAGGATGGAGGCTTGGAGGCTTAAGGGTTAAGGCTCCTTTAAAGGGATCTAGTACTAGAAGGCTACTCCTCAAAGGGATGTATATAGGGCACGGGTTTGCGGGTTTAGGGTTGCAGGCTCTTGTAGGATGGTAGGTCTTTGGGGCTATAGAGCTCCAAGGTTTTAGGTCTTCGGGCTACGAAGCGGTTGGCCTTCGCAGTAATCGCCTGGGACCTGGTTTGGCTGCCCTTACTGTTCAGAGTATTAAATGGAGTTTGTTTTCCCTGGGTTTCTGCTGGTAAGGAATTAAATATTTAAGTTGCCGTAATAGGGATCTATAGTAAATAACAGGGTTTCTTTGTTATGGTAACTGTAAGTTAACTTAAACCCCCGAGCAAGAACCCAATTTCAAGTGCTGTGAGATATGCCCAGAGCTCCGACCCTGTCCTCTTTTCCGAGCTCACTCCGAACCACAGGGTCCTTGATGTGCAGAAATGGTGCGCCCGGCGCCCGGTGGTGGCTTGCCGAGCTTCATGCAGCATCCTCCACCTTCACGCCTTCATAGTCCACGAACTGAAACTTGCTGTACAAGAAGCAGTAGCCCTCCCTGCACGGATCGGTGTGATCGAGGTCGCTCCAGGACTCTCCAAAGTATGACTTGGTCCGGAAGATGGCGGAACTGAAGTAGCTGTCCATCTTCACCTGGGCACTTGTCTCAATCAGGGTCCATTCTTGAATCTCGGGGAGAGACAGAGAGAGAGTATGTGTGTGTGTGTGTGGGAGTGAAACAGTGTGAGGGAGTACGTCACTCCAAACGCAGGCCTGCTGCGAGGGAAGGGATGCTACTTTAGAAAACCCCCCACCTGATGCTTGCCCTCGAAAAGCCTTTCATTTTGCACCCCGCGCTCGAGATTCTCGAGGTTCTCCCCGAAGACGCGGAATCGAGCCGTGCGGTTGTTGGCCCACTCCTTGCTGGCCCCATAAGCCAAGGAAGCAAAATATATTGCCGCAAAGGACCAAACAAAAAGAAACACTTAGAAGCTCTGAGCATGAAACCCAACTGGATAACTACATACATACATATATACATGCATGCATAATACATACATGCATACATACATATATATATATATATGTATATATGTATGTAGCTGGACCTTGACCCGTACACGCCCCTGTGTTTTTAATCGCTTTTCAGCTATTCGACTCGGTATTTGCGCGGTTTCTGTTTTTGGAGCACTTCGGATTTTCAGGGCTTTTTGAGGCGGTCGCCAATTTCGGCTTTTCTGCTAAGGAGGTTTTGCTCCTGGGAGAACTTTGGTTTCTGAGGGTTTTTCCTGCCCGGCGTTCAAAGGTAGTTCTGGAAGCTTTCAGGTTTTCCCGAATGCGCAGCAGAAGGGTTCTCGTTTCAAAGGTTGGGGTCCATGGGTCCAATCGTTGACCAGGGATCATCGTTAAAGCGTTCGCAAAGCGTTCACAAGCGTTCGCAAGCGTTCGCAAACGTTCGCAAAGCGTTCGCAAGCGTTCGCGTGTGTCGCGAGTGTGTGTCGCGCCCCTCTCCCAGCCCCCAGCCCAGCCCCCAGCCCCCAGCCCCGCAGCCCCCAGCCCTCGGCCCCAGCCCCCAGCCCCCCGCCCGCAGGCCCCCAGCCCCCAGCCCCCAGCAGTCCAGCCCA